CTATCTGCGTGCATTATAACGGGGGGTAACAACCGCCGCTCGCGGCAGAAAAGAAAAGTGCATATTTTCTATCTCTTATGGCGCTCGCGCGCGGCGCGCTTAGGAATGTTCATTATATACACGGCATCGATTCGCGCAACCGCCAAGCCAAGCGCCAAGAGATGGATGGAAAGGTTAATCGAGGTTGAAGAGCTGTGCTAGTCGAGGTTCTTTTCTCCTCTGTAGATAGAGAAAGAGACTGGCTCGAGAGTATTACTAAGCGCCTCGCTCGATCTTTGCTGCTGCTGCTGCAACAGAGAGAACTCGATCGGCTAATAATCGGATTGCAATTGTACACAATTATGCTGTAGCTGCTGCTGTGTATAACGTGAACTGTAGCAGCAGCAGCGTCGCGGAGAATGGAATGCAGGTGTTGATTATTCATTGCGTTAAAAATAAGAAATAACCTTTTTTTCTCTTTCCTAATCTCTCTCTCTAGCTCTTTCTTAGCTATGTTCCATGCTGCTGTGTTAATATTACACAGCGCTCTCGAGCGCACATTCGAAACGATTTTATAATAATCACGCGCTCTCTGTGTGCTTTAAATTGCACGCTACGATCGCGCTGCACGATGTATATCATTATAAACATCGAGCTCTCTCTCTCTCTCGCTTCAATCTGTATCCGGGCGCGCGTTTTTCAACTTCCGACGGAAATGCGGTTCTCTCTCTCTCTCTCTATTAAACTTTTCTGCACGATAGATATTGATTGCGGATGTGTCTGTATACACATAACTGCTGCTGCTGCTGCTGTGGTTCTTTTTTCTGTGCTGCAAAAACGTGTCGTCTTCGTTGTCGTTGGAAATTTCCTCGTTTCGCGCCGTTGACCGCGTCCATTTGGTGCGCGAGCGAGTCGATCGCGAGCTGTCCCCCCGAAAAATCGGTTGCCTTTCAGAAACAACGAAGAAGCTCCAAATTCGCTCGCTCTTTTCTCTTCGACGATTTTTGTCCATTTATGCACCTAAATTTATATATATCAGCACTTAGCCGCAGTCGCGGAGCCGCTCGCGGGCATTATTTTTCATTGCAGCAGCTCAGTGAATAATCAACTCCGAACGCGGCGGCGCTCGGCCAGCAGCCGCGCGTGATTCACCCAAAATCACCTTGACACACGCGCGCGCACGCGTTATATTAACGACTCCTTTTTTTTAACAGCGTTTAAAAAGGAGAAAAGAGACAAAACGAATATCTCGTATTTACGCACGAAATTCACCCGCGCGCACGATGATGATCGTTTGGTTTTGCATATTTGGTCTTGGCCGCGAGAATGGGAGAAAAGATGTGCGGTGCGGACTACTCGTGCGTTTGAATTTCGTGGCAGCTGGAGTCCGTGGTTAAATATAATATAAATAATAATAAAACAACAGAAAAAAGCTGCTGCCTCGAGATCGAGTCTGCGCGCGTGGAGCTTTTTCGTGAATCATTCATCGGATCGGAGCACGAGAGTATAAGTGTATATAAGGCATTTAAATGTATACACGGCTTCGCTCATGCAGAATCGTCATCGAACTGCAACGAATATATGCGATCTTTCTTTACGCGTTCGCGTATATACTTCTATATACAGTATATACTTCTATACCCGCGAGAAAAGAGAGAGAGAGAGATTAGAATTTTCATTCACACGCGCAGCGCCGCGGCGAGAATACTTATACGTATGAGAAATCGGCAAGCGCGCGAATAGTTGTGGTTCTCGTGTACTAGTATATATACAGTGTGGCTATGGAAAAACGGCGCGAACGGATTAAAGCCTGCTCTCCGCGGCCTCTCGCTCGTTTCGCAGCAGCAGAGCCATGTATTATACGGGCTCGCTACATTCTCATGAAGCACATTTTCTCAGGCTCTTTCGCGCGCTCTCTTATACACATATACTGCATCTATCTCTCTCTTTTCTCGCGGTTCTCTGTATCGTGTGCTCTGCACACAGACTGCATCAGCAGAGGCCGAGATAAAGACACACACACACATGAGAGTAAGAGAGAGAGAGAGAGCCTGAGATAACCCGCAAGTCGTGCTCCGCGATACATACGTGCCTCGGTACAGTGTATAATACACAACACACAAAGTCTCGTTTGCTCTCACACTCATGGTTCGTGTGTTCATGTGAGTACGCGTATATATAGTACTCGCGGGGCCGCCATTACACGCGGCCGAGGCAATGGTGCAAAAGAAGCACACACACGCAGAGAGAACTGCACACGTAAAGGCACGTGAAAGAGAAAGAGCTTCGCGTGAACGGGCTCTCCTACCACCACCGCTGCTGCTATACGGGGTTTTACTCTTGTACGTTCTGTTGTAGCAGCAGCAGTAGTAGTAGTATAAAAGTTTGCATTCCGGAAAGAGAGGAGAGGAATGGAATCTCGTCGCTCCAGCTCGGCCTCTACATATATATAATGCAGCAATACGGAGAAGGCCCGCAGACTGTATATAGCTGGCCCTGCGGTACGGAGGAGAGGGAGCGACGAGAGCATTATATATATCTGTGTGTACAACCGATTGCACACGGCCCTGCGTACTTTTGCTCAAAGGCTTCGCGTGTATTATTGCACTTTTGGATCACGACGACGTTGATGACGATGATGATGATGATACCGATGATGACGGTGGTAATGGCACGGAGTGAATGCAGCAGGCATGCCTATGTATATACTATATACATGCTGCAACACCCGACCAGCGCGAGAAACAAAATAAAGAGTAATATAATATTGCGCGAAGGAATGCGGGTACGTAGTATACACTACTTGCCTCTCGCTCGCTCGCTCGTTCGCTCCAACTTTTCTTCTTCTTATTATTTTATTACTCGTGTGCGCTGCGTTGCCCTTCGTTGTGCGTTTATTTTGCTCTTTGATGATCTCGGCTCGAGCGATGGATGCGTGTTGCGTTCTGTTGTATATACGCGTCACGATCGATCGATCGCCGATCGATGGGAAAATTCATAAAGCGTGTATGGGTTTTATGCATTCCTGAGGTTTACGCGCGAATGAGAACAGAGAGATCCTAATGGGAATATATTACGTAAAAATATCCGCGTATATACAATATGTAGTTATACGTTACGTATCGACGATATAATATTAATATCGAACTGGGTTTGCTCTCTGTTCGATTTTTGCACTCGTTACATGTATGTAATAATAATCGCATTGACGAGACTTATCTCTTTTATTATATGCATTCTCAACCTGTTACTGTACAATTGTGACAATCGTAGCCGCGCGATAGATACATTTATCAATTGTTTTCCTTATCGTCGTCTCTCGCAGCAATCGACATTAGTCGACCCCGTGGAAAAGTTTTTTCGAACGAATTACCTCTCGGCCGCACAGCGCGCACACGTTGTACACGAGGATCTCTCATTTAAATTTGAATCTTAAATCGTTCGCGCGCGCGCGAATAATTGGCGCGCTCGGCGTGTATCGTTGAATGAAAATATATAAACAGAGCGCGCGCGCCTCCGAGGTATAGAGAGCCGTCGTATATAATAATAAAAAGAGCCTCGGCCGACTCCGAATTTTTCGACAGCCTTGTAAAAAATGTTATGTGTAATACAGTTTGAGCCGCGTTTCGCAACTCGACCGTATATATTTATTATATATAGATAGATGGTCGGTAAAGCAGCTCTTCGAACGTAATGTTATGTTATAGACATATACAGGAGGATACTTTCGAATTTCGAGTTTACAAACATCCCGTTTGATGTACGTTCGATTTGTAAACATACACACACTGTACATACGCGTATTACGCAAATCAGTGCTCGATCTTTTCGTGGGATGAACAGGTGCCATATACGAAATAATTGAGCAACGACTCATCGTCGTCGGGGACGATCTTCTTCTTAGAAATCATCGGGCGTTCGATATCGCGTGCACGAGGAAGATATCGATTAATTTGTAATCGGTAGCTGCATATATCAAAACGATAATTATCATATCGCTCGTCTCTCGAGACAACCGACTTTTCAGCGACTTTAATACGAATATAATATAATATCGTATAAATTTTAAAATTCAGGACGCCGTACAGTATATATTTCGAGAACGAAACGATGCACGAAATTCATGCACCGCACATGCAAGGCTGCTACGCTCGTTACATTAGACAAAGCCGTGTATGCAGCGCTGCTCGTACACACACACAGACAGACACACGCGATATTTGCACTGTGTGCGCTGCAAGTATACGGCATGGAATTCGTCGACCTCTCCAAAACGAAGTAGTAAAAGCCTGCCTGACTGCAGCCACAGCACAGCCATGGTATATATATCCAAGAGAAAGACGACGAGAGAACGAGGGAGTCTCGTAAGCTTGGCCGGCTTTACAATGTGTGTTGTAGTACACTATATACCCAAGTGGGGGTCTCTCTCTCTCCGGAGACAAGGACGGCCGTTCTCTTCACGATATTCGCAAAGCAGCGGCACTATATACTATATGTTTCCCACGAAAATGTATACGTATATAAGGCTTATTTACCATTTAAGGGATTGAAAATATTAGAGGCGAATTTGGAAAAATTGTTGAAAATGAGGAAATCGATGGAGTTACTAATGTAAAAGTTGTATAGGGTAAAATTACAGTTGAAGGTTTATACCGAGTATTAGAGTAAAAATACGTGGACCAACATTACATCGTACCCGAATATATGTCATAATTGTATTTTGAAAAGAAGATAGACTCTTCAACAATTAAAGAGCGTTTCCTAACCCCTACCACATACCAAGTTCAGCCGCACTGCAGCTATATACGCTTTTCACTCTCTCGGTCGGTAGTCTCCTCTACTCTGGCTGAAGCGGGGCGGCGAGAACGCGCCGCCGCGGCCGCTGCCCGACTACTGCTTTTCTGAGGACTGAGAACGAATATTGGCAACATGGCACAGCCGCGGCAGCAGCAGCATTGGCTCGACTCGGCTTGGCAACGTTGAGGTCGCTCCGCGCAGTGAGCGAGCGAAAGCCCCGTATCGTATCGTACGCTGTGACTGGCTGGCTGGCTGGCTTGTTGTGTGTGCTGCGAGCAAAAAAGCCAGCTGCGTGGAGCGGAGCGCTGCGAGAATCTCTCGACTCCGCGCGACGGACTTTTCAGACGGGGACGCGCTCGTCCACCGAACACGCCACACATATACAGAGAGCTCTGCTATACTACTACCTAATCTCTCTTCTTTTGGCTGACTCTGTGTGTGACTGTGTTGTCGTCGTGTGTATAGTGTATAGTAGTACGAATATAGCGCGCCGTGTGTGTGTTGTCTCGTATCTTTTCTACTAACGCAGCACAGCTCTTGGCGCTCCTATTCGGCACACGCGCGTAACGTTATTTTCCCGTCGAGGAGAAGAAGTCGCTGTCGGAGCCGCCGCCGCCTGACTTTTATCATCATTGAGAATTTTTAATAGAACACGCGCCGCCAGCCAGCAGCAGCAGTGTGTAAACCGACGAGAAAGAGAGAAGCAAATGTCTACCGCGGTCGTATCGAACGTCGTGAAACTCAACGACGAATCGAAGCTGGAAAACAGAGAAAATACGATCATGAAGAATTTATAAAAGTGCAACATAAAGTTAACGAGGAAAGTCGGAAAGAGTGCATCGCGACTGGCGCAGTGTGTTTATATCTCTCTCACTTCTCTACACTAAATTCAACGATTATCCTCGAAGCCGTCACTCCGAGAGCCTGTTTTGTTTTTTTGTTTACGTTTGGTTTTTGTTTTTACTTTGCTACTTCTGTGCGTGCGTTGAAAACAAGTGCAAAAGTTGGTTGGAGTACAAAAGCAAAATTTATGAAAGGCTCCGCAAAAAGTTGTCCGCTGTTGGTTCGTTGAAGTTCAATTGTTTTTTTTTTGCGAAGCTGTTGCGCTAAAAGGCTGAAAGGCTGTCGCCTACAAGAAGAAAGTCGCGCAAGCATCGCGCCGACTGGGAAGCTTTGTACACGAGAGCCAGGCAGCAGCAGCAGCTAAATCGTACCAACGATCAACGGCAGCGTCGAAGCTCGACGCCCACGACCATGACGACTACCATGTTGATTGTACGTATTTTCGTATGTTCTTTCACGATGATGATGACGATGAATGAGATTCTCTCTGCGAGAATTTTAATAACGAAACAAAATGAAATGATATCGTTAAAAAAAAAATAAGAACAGAGACTATTATCAGCGCTCAACGTACATGTAATAATCGCGTGCGCAAACAACATTGCCTGATTCTCGAGCGTTTGCGCGTTGCGCGCTGCCGCTGCTCCGAATTTTTTTTTTTTTTTTTTCATACGCGCGCTAAAAAGTCTCGAGTCATTGTTTTTCAAATTTTCCTCGTTCCGCAGCGACGATTGCCTTGTGTACAATAACGATGGCCCCGAATATGCCTCGATTATTTCGCGAATTTTTAACGTTGTTGTTTGTGTAACGCAAGCCCGTATATACACACAAGCGCCGTAAGCATTGATTTACAACCATTGGGCAGCAGCAGCACCTACCATGCTATATACGTAGGAAAAGCAATATGGGCAACTCATGGCGTTTCTCTTCTGGCGTTGTCTGCGTGTGTGTGTGTGTCTGTGTGTGTGCTTTACACGGCCGTGTGTATATACGCTACGAGGCCCCTCCACATTCGCGCACATCTGTCTGTGTGTGTACTCCAACTATCTCTCTCTACCCGTATTATATATAACATGTAACGAAAGAACGCGAAGGCAACGTACAGCAAAGTCGGGTTTTCTCTTGCGCGCTCTCTTTTTTCGGGCGCGTGCAGCGTTAAAGGGGCTTCGCTCGTCATAGTATACGCTCGCGTGATATTCCATGACCATAACACAATGCGTGTTCTCTCTCGCTCGCTCTCTAGCGCCATGGCACATTTTCCCTTGTTATTGTATTGCAACGACGATGGCCTCTGCTGCGTGGGTAAAATTCACCGCCATACTTTATAATGTGCTCTGGAAATTTTCGCTCTCTGCAGTTTGTCATCGCCCTTCGTGTAATGGCGTATAATATCGCGTGCGCAAGTCGCTATAAACGAGAGAAAAAAATATTATATATAGAGTAAAAGGCAAAAGAAAGAAACGAAACGTTGATCGATCGAGCGAGCCAAGAGCAATAAAAAAAAACTTTCGATGGACGCGCGCGAATCATCGCGGGAAATACGGCGCCCTGCATCATATACACAGCGGCAGATGTGTTTTTCCGAGATAGTTTGTTGATTTTGAGCTGCGATAGATGTATAAAGAAGTAAGATATAGAGGAAGCATTAGAGCGAGCAGCGACGCGTGCAGCAGCTCCGTTAATAAAACTCGAAATTTATTTTCGATATGTTTTCCTGCGCGAAAATAGCGCAAATTGTATAGCACTTCCTCGCTCTCGAAATGCGCGTTTTTCGTGAATCATTGCAAAAATTTTGCATCAACAAGACAGCACAAACGACGCGATGACTCTCGCGATTCTCTTTTCGCTGAGTCGCGACCGTGTCTCTCTCTCTGTCTTTAGTTATTTTTTTTTATTTTGCAAGTATTTATATCGGTTGTATGTACGCAGGATTTTTTTTTTTTTAACAACAAGAAACGAACTGTTTGACCGAGCCGTGTACTCATTATACTTTTATTCGATGCACACGCGATGGCTCCCGAAAGAGCGGATGTTTAGTTACGTGCAAATATATAAGTAAAGCAGCAGCGGCCCTCGCACACAATAATACGTACGCTTTGTGAGCTGCTGCTGCACGCGCAGCTTGCGAGCACACACACACACACACATACACACACGCTTGATAAACAGACCGTGCACAGCTGCACGTTCGCATTGTACGTACGCGTACGTAAAACTTCAAAATGTATATCCTATTTCGCGCGCCGAGAGGGGGCTGCTGGAAAATACAAAAATTTTGCCGAATAAAAATGTCTATTTCGTAATTTTTGCGATGCATCGCGGCGCGTTTGTTGCTATCTTCTTTCGGCCTGAAGCACGACGTTCATTGTGCGTTGTTTTTCGATAAAATTTTACCGATAACGCGCGCTCGCGAACTCCGGCGTAGGCGGATAGAGAAGCGCCCGTGTGTGTGTATATATTCAACCAGATAAAATCCCATTGATGATAACGGCAACTTTTCCCCACAACAAAGTCGGCTCTTTGCTCGACAATTTCTTTATTATTTTTTTTTTCATCGAAGAGTTGGCAGTAGCGTTTATGAACATTTCTAAAGAGCTTCGGCTACGCCCACATGTATTATATGTATACACACGAGCGTGGAATTTCGCCCATGCTGCCGCACATATATACGTATAGGATGTGTATTCCCAAAAGCGCCCGATAATAACAACACACACACACACACACGGAGCGGCGCGCGTGTCAAGAAAACAGGCTTGGCCAGATGTGTGTGTGTACGAGTATAGTGGGACTTGGAAAAAAAGGGAGACCCGTTTTGTAGCTCCGAAAAAATGTGCGGCGCGTGCTACTGCTGACTTTCGAGAAAAAAAATAACAGACCCATACTCTCTCTCGCTATGCCGCGGGCCCGAATTATATATATAGTAAAAAATATCGTTCCCCAAAAACGAAACCGACAAAACGCGAGAAGAAGACGGCCCGCTGGTGCTCTACGGAGTAAATACGCGACTATAACTCGCTGCCCGCGTATACATTTGTGTAGATATATCCTATATAGACTCAATGAATGCTCGTGTTCTCTGCGGCGCGCAAGAGTAAACGTCCTTGCCGCGTTTTCGAACGTCGAGGTCGTCGCCTACACAGACAGACGCATTCGCACACTTGCGATATGCGCGAGTCCGTGTGTGTGTGTGTGTGTGTGTGTTTTCTCAAGTAGTTTTTTCTCTCGCTCTCCGCGGCGTTAATAAAAATTTCTCGCGCTTTGTTGCTCCTCGCATATTATTATTTATAATAAAGTCCGATAGAGGCGAATGCTCTGTATACAACGTTGTATAGGATATGTGCACGGAGCGTTGTAAACGTATGCGCGCACGCCAGGATAAGGGCAAACGCCATAACAGCTCTTGCGGCAATTACGCAGATATGCATATGCGCAAGCACAAATCATCGACTGCGTGTATAGGGGAGACTAATTAGAATATTCCTGATTTGCCCCCTCCCCTCTCGTTTGCCGTAAGGAGCTTATGTATTATGTACAAACTCGTTTTATTAAAAGTATAACAAAGTGATTCGAGGGTCTCTTCGATGACTCCTCTCCGCGACGTACAAATAAACGTATGCGCGCGGAACAATACACAATCGGAGGTTTTTTTTTTTAATATTTTTTTATTCTTATTTTTTCTTATTGTTCCGAAGCTCGAGAAAGACATTTGTTTATACAGTCGTCGTATTATATTGAGCAAGGCCCCGCGAAGATTGTGTCATACTCGAGCGCGCTCGAGCCGCTCGAGCTCATTGCCGCAGTTATAGTTACGGAGCGAAAAAAGGCAATGTAGGATTTTTGCGCTCGTTCGAATACGGCTTCGTGCGAATGTATGATATATATACATTATACCGATGCGGAGAACGCAGCTGGCGAAGAGACGACGAAGCTCGTGGCCCACTTTATAAATCGTACTTTATACGCGTTTATCTTTTATAAATAATAATACAAATGAAATAATAAAGGAATCGGTATGGAAAAAGCTGTGCTGATCGCGTGACACGGTCGCGTCGCGCGCGAGTCTATTACAATATTATATTCTTTTTATCATAGCTCGCTCCGAAAGGCGGTCATCGCGGGTTCGAAGACCTCGCAGTTCTTCTTCGCCTCGTCGTCGTCGTCGTCGCGCGCCGATGGAGCAACCTTTTTATCGTGGTACGCTCATCGCGCTCGCGGCGGCGGTGGTGGTGGCGTGGGCGCACGCGATATAAACAATACTGTTTATTACCTTTTGTTTTATGATTTTTCCTCTCTCTCTCTCCTTCCTTTTTTTTTCTCGTTCGTTGTAAAAAAAAGATAACGCACGTGACTTTCACGAGTCGTTTGTATATCATATACGTATAATAATATAACGAGAGAAAACAATAAATGCATCGATCGATTGAGTAAAAAGGCATGACTCGACTCGGCGTTGTGTGTACGTACGTGTCCGTTATATATGTCATCGTCGGCTTAATTACTCATGCTAATTAGAACACTAACTAGTGCTGCACGTCTATATCACTTTTCTCGAAATTACACACACACATAGACAATAATAATCGGAAATAACTATCGTACTTATTCAGAACAACGAGCGATGCACATTGCTTTTATCTTTGAAACTCTGTACTGAGATTGTGATATCATACCGCGATTCAAACGGGCGCGCGCGAAACCTACATTGCCTACATTGCCGACGATCGACGCGCGTAACGCGGTAAAATCTGCTCAACCGTGCAACTTTAACATCGTATGTACTCACGCGATAAACATTAAATATAGTTTAAAATTTTTCCTGTATTCTGCAACGACACCTAATCTTTTATCGAATTACCCTCGCGGCCGCGCGATTACATCACTGCGGCACTATTTTGCTTGCGAATCGTGTGCGCGTAACGAGAGTCGACACGTTCGCGGCACGTAACAAACGCATTATACAAACGAGCAGAAAATTTTCCAAAAAGTTATCCGCAGACGCGATCCGACGTCGAAAAGAAAAAAAAAATCGTTCTTCGAATCGAACGCGATGACGTATCGTCGTATATCAGTAGTCAATACACTTCGAGTCCCGCTTGGGTTTTTTCGCATTAGCACGTGCGCGCGCGCGAGTATTTTTATTATTACGCGTATTATGTATGGGCCATATTATAGTGTCGGCGGCGTCAAAGCACTCGCGCACGTTTTTACTTATGCTACCGAAATATATAAAAATCTCTCATTTGACAGAAGAGCACGCGCGGACACACGCAGTGTTTGTAAACAGAGACGGACAGACGAGAAAGGGAGTACAGAAGGTGGAGGAGGGGGGAGAGAGAAAGCGCGCCTACAATTATTACACACACGCGCATTTTGTGACATGTATCAGGAATTATTGCGCCGAGACAACGGCGCTTCCGCTCGCACCAATTCATGTATAATATATCTATAGATTTTATTATATATAGGCGCCTGGCGCTATGGGCGCGCGCCGCACCCGATGATGCAAGGAGAAATCAAAGGCGCGGCGACGGCGCTTGCATATCGAGAGGGGGCGCCCGAGTTCGGGGAAAAAAATGAAAAAAAAAAGGACGAAATGAAATGAAATAAAATAAAGAGGCTGCGTTAAAAGGACCACCCACGAGTAGGCAAGAAATTTTTCGCCAACGGGACGCGTCGCCTTGGTCTTTTTTTTCTCCCTATATACACGATGTATATAACAGTACATATACCGAGAAAAACTGTGTTACATTACGTTGTTTACCGAACGGCCGTGTGTCTATTTTTCTGAATATCTTCGAGAGGTATGCGCGCGCGTGCATGCAGTAGCTGGTTTACATAACGAAGCGAAACGAATTGCAATTACACGCGCACGGACGAAGGCGATGCATACCAGCCGCCCCGACTCTTCTCTTCTTATCAAATGCCACGCAACTGTCGCATCGCGCTGCGATTTATTTATTTTTTTTCATTATTATCTCCGTTAAAAATTCCACGCGGCGCGCATACTTTTACTCGAACGAGATTTTGCAGGCAGCAGCGGCAGCATTAATCGCGCATTCCTTTTCGATGATGTCCCATCCGCGCGCACGTGCCGGCATTAATAAGTTCCAGATTTCGTACTATTGTAAACGTCGCTGTCATTTCAATAACAATACGTAATTCGCGCGAAATAAATGGACAACGTGACTTTCAGCTGTTTCGGTCTATTATTGAATCGTTCGTTCGTTCGCTTTTTTTATACTCGTTAAATCGCGCTCAAGGATATACGTCGTTAATTTTTTTCTCCTCGTGTTTATATATATAAAGATCGCAGGCACGTAACGACGAAGCGCAATTTTTATACGCACACAATGATGAACATTGTACAAAATCAGGCAGCGACATTACGTAAAAATAAAATTGTTCTCTCTCGACGGCGATTAAAAAATCGATTAAAAATAGAACCACTGAGAGCACGAGCGAGCAGAGTACTATTATTTCGCTCTCTGTCTCTATATACGTCGCATTAAACCAAAAACGTCGCTGCTCTTCGTCGCATCATCGTGCGATCATCCTCATCATCGACTGATTTACATTCTGCAGTGGGCGGAAGCTTTATAATATGTATGAGGGAGGACCATATACATACACCTCGAGTCACGCGCGCATAATAATCATAATTCATATATGGGCGAGTGCGCGGGCTTGGAAATTCGCTCACGCATCGACACGCGCAGCAGCAGCACAGAGCCTGTGTCCCACATTTCCATTTAAAGACAAATAGGATAAAAAATAATTATAATATATCAAGGTATTACGTATTGCGCGACATCATCGTCGCTGTCGTTGTTGTATAACAATAATACTTTTGAAAAAAAAAAAAAAAAAAAAACATACACACACGCGCGCTTCTTGCCTGCTGCTCGCTTGTGCTTGCAAATAATAGGTGTCCCCCTCCGCGAGATTTCGCACGCGCTAAAATACATAATAGGCACACACGAGTGTCTAGGCGCAGCAGCACGGCAGCTCTAAATGTGTGTGTGTGTGTGTGTGTGTGTGTGTGTGTGTGTGTTTGTGTGTACATTATAGCGTACATCGGGAGTATTATTGCGTTTGCGGCACAGCTGCCGCATTATATGTACAACATCGTTGACGGCGACGGCGGCCGCGGCGGCTACGACGACGCTTCGGCGGCATCGCTGCACACAACACGGCCAGCGCAGTTCTCTATTACCTCTAGTATTCGCCTTCCATGATATACGTATGTGTGTGTATTAATATATAGAGCATCAACGCGCGAACACGTACATTCGAACGATAGGGAGAAGAAGACAGTCGCGTGTGTACCACTCGCTCGCATTTGTTTACAATTCTCGACTGGAAAATTTTTGGCCGAGGGTTAAATTCATCGCTCGACACGACGTGTGCGCGTGTATAAGAGAAGAAAACTGGATGTGTCTGCTGCTGCCGTTCGATGTGTGTATATAAATACATTCGATCCGTCGAGTTTTAGTTTTAAAATCAAAGGCGGTTGCGTTGCTTTGCGTGTGTGTGTGTCTATGTGAATTTGTTCGTTCCGACGAAAACAAATTTTTTTGTGCGACATCGACTCGTTGAATTCTTTTATCCGGCTCTCTTATCTTAATCACCGTCTATCGGTGTAATTGCAATCAAGTTTTCGTTTAATGTCAGTCGTAAGTGTTGTCCTAGTTTCTGCTAGTAATATTTTTTTTTCGCGTCGCATTCGCCGCAGAGCTCATTTGGATACTCGAGCCGCGCGCGATATTCGCTTTTGACGTAATGTGTCTAGTGAGTCATATGACATTGTTAAAGAAGAAAAAAAAAACAATTTGTTTAAATTGCGCTTTGACTAATGCTAGATATTCGCTGATTATATAAGGCGAGCAAGGTGTGGCTGTAGGCTTCAATTTCATCCTGTGGAATTGAATTTAAAATAGCATAATGCAGTCATGTTTGTTTATAGATCACAGCGTTAGGCATTTAAGATTTTAATGTTTGAAACAAGCACTTACGTGCAATAAAAGCTAGTGCGTTGATGAAGTTTTTGATTCTATTTGACAAATTTTTACATTCCTTAATGATTAAATGGTTTTACTCTGAACATTTAGTTAGCATAAAGTTACACGATATATAACAAAATAAAAAGATTGTAATCAACTGTTTACTCAATGTTTTTCCTTTTTATGATTGCAGAGTAACACACTCAGTCATAGAATGGCTGGAATGTTGGATCAGAGGGGCAATCCTTTCCTGTCTGATTACAAATTCAAGCAAAACTTGACACCCAGAGCACCGACTCCTCCACAACTTGAAGAAAATGAAGTAGACGATGCTGGCAATATGGACTTCAGGTAAATTATACACAAATAATCAAAAATAAAATGAAAAAATTTTCAATTTTGATCATTTAATTAACGGTTTTCATTTATGTTTGCAGGTTCGAAGAAGTGAGATTACAGAGCTATGAAAACTGGCCAAGTCCATACGTCAGACCATCGGATCTTGCTGCAGCTGGTTTCTACTACACAAAAGAAATCGACAGAGTACGTTGTTTTGAATGCTCAACTGAAGTTTGTCGCTGGGAGGATGGCGATGATCCTATGGTGGAGCATCAACGATGGGGAGGTCGATGTCGTTTCATCAGAAAATTGCCTTGTGGCAATGTACCTCTTGGAGCCGATGCAAGCATGATTCCAGCTCGACCATCTCGAAGCTGGGATGTCTGTGGACCTTACAGACTGGACTATCGACACAGTGCAGAGGCTGATACTCATGGCTCGTCTAGTGGACCCACCAGCACCAGCACGCAATTGCCAAGCGCTGCAAGATTAGGATGTCTTGGAATTGGTATTGCAAAACGACCGGATTTTCCGGATTACGCAAGCTACGAAGCGAGATTACAGACGTTTGCCGATTGGCCGACTTCCATTGCGCAAACCAAAGAACAGCTCGCTGATGCTGGCTTTTTCTACACTGGCACTGGTGACCAAACGACTTGTTATCATTGCGGTGGTGGACTGAAGAACTGGGAACCTCAAGATGATCCATGGGTACAGCACGCCAAATGGTTCTCTACGTGTTTCTACGTAAGACTGGTCAAAGGTCAAGAATTCATCAACAGCGTCACCGGAAAACACATTCCACCGCTTTCGGAAGAGGTAAAATTTATTCGACAAAATTGTTTCGATTAATCGTCCATTGAAAGAACTTATTTTTAAACAATTATATTGCTCGTTTAGGAGACAATGAAACTAAATCTACCTAGTTGCATAAAAAAAGTTGAGTGCCTATCGACTCAAAAATGTGAAAGCAAAGAGGAAACCCAACAGCCGGCCCAGACGCAACTTCAGCCAAGCGCCGCAGAACCAGCAACCGCAACAGCTGCAGCTGCCGAAAGTGCAGCGGGCCCGAGCACTAACGAAGTTGAGCCGCAAGCCCCGACACCCGCGCCACGCAGTAGTAGTACTACTGCTACGACGACGACGACGGAGATGCAAACCGAAACTCAAGCCGTGCCAAGCTCGAATCAGTCGCAGCAATCTGCTTTGGCGCAGCAAGCTCAAAAGGCCAACAACGAGAAAAAGTCGATAGACGACGCTCGCGTCTGTAAAATTTGTTATAACGAGGAGTTGGGCGTCGTTTTTCTCCCTTGCGGACACATGGTCGCGTGTGTCAAGTGTGCCCCGGGCATGACGACGTGCGCCGTATGCCGCGAGACTGTAACTATGACAGTGCGCGCTTTCTTCTCTTAGTGTTTAGGCGAATGAAAATCTCGCGGTAAATGCATGCGAGTCGCGGTGAAAAGACTTCGAGGCTGGGCTTGAGAGTTGAAAAGCCCGATGATGCAAAATGAAGAAACATGACATGACTCATGCGTTTCATCCATCTGACGCGTAATCTGCAAACACAAATGCGATTGCGACCCTTGTAAATTTAACGATCAATGGTTTCTCCTTTTCATTATTATTTTTTTAATTACAACAATAAAAGGTGCCATGTAAATGAAGATCTACAAGTGTTTATCATAATTGTGCGTAATAGTGCGCAGTTTTCATCTTGTTTTTCATAAAAAATTTAAAACAAAATTATACTTGGATTTGTGTTTGTAGATAATTATTAATTACCATGAGTGTAAAATGATTGATTGTAATTATAATATGCGTGCAGGTGTATGTTTTGCAATCGGCGCATAGAGTCTAGTCATGCTCAGTATTATATATTTTATGTGATTTCGAAAAAAAAAGTTGAAAACAATTTAACATTATAACTGTTATTGAACAATTATAAATGAAAGTTTCGGGTGAACAATTTTAAATTCTATGTCGACTTTAAATTTTAAGTCGATCTGAAAAAAAGCTTTCAGAACCATGTAACATCAACATATGTTTGATTGAGTCTTTCAATGAATCAGAAAAATCCAAGACTGGATGAATTTTCTGTTAAGGTGAAATTAAGCAGTCTTCTTTAAAAAAAAGCAGTTATTTAATTTCTAAGGCCAAATCATTTTTTAAACATGTTTGTTATATCATTTTGTTTATTATTAAACAACTCATGTATTAAATTCTTATAAAACATCTGTTTTATAACTCTGAAAAAGCAGAATAATTGATAGTACGATTTTCAACACAATTTAGAAATGATACAATTTTTAGAAGTACCATTCTTAATTTGGTTACAAGTACTTTTTAATAGATGCCAAAACTACGGTAAAAGTAACATTTTTAAACATTTTCCTATTGCTTTTACTGATACTTGCAGTAACATTTACAGGAAATGAGACGAAAAACTGTTAATGCACTGGCTTTAGTACATTCTGAAATTGAAACAACTAGATTGATTATTTCCAAAATTAAGAGCTCGTTCATTCTCATCATATAAAAAGAAGCATTTAATATAATTAAATTTATAATTATGAATAAAATGTACAAAACTGGAAAGCTATAGACATGCAATTTACAAAATGATGGTATACGAATTATGGAAAAATATTTATTTTCATTCTATGCGTTGAACGAATGACTTTTTTCAAAGCTACTACGCTTAAAAAATGCATCTCTATAGTTTTCTCCATACAATTAACAGTTGTATTAAAATATTTTGCATGTAATAAAGTAAAGTTTAATGTTAGTTAGGTTTTATCATTTTCGAATGGTTTTTCAGTAAAAATTTGTAAAAATTATTCAAACAATTAACGTTTTTGTTTATGGTCTTTAGATACTGTTTGATAGACTTTATTGTAATTGTAGCTTCGCGGGATTAATAATGAAGCAGGAAAATTAAACAAAATGTATCATAAATGAAGAATAGGTTTATGCATTTAAGATCATTGAGCCATTAGTTTCAAAAAAGGTACATACATATACTTCTATCACTATCATATTTCAGAATCATAAAAAAATTCATACAGTGTAAATACCAATATTAGTTTATATATTATATATTAGATAGTTTGTAAATAAGGAATTCTCAAATAAATCGATTGAAAGTGAAATGGTTGTCATTATTAAATAAAAAACCTTACTCAGTTCATTAAAACTCGAAAACAATTCAAGTTCTCGAAATGAAGGAAATTTAACTTGACAATATCTGCCCGTGTTAGTGAAAGTCGATTGTTGTTAAGTTTCTAAAAATAATGTTGGACATACATACAGAAAAAATTATTCTGCTCTCTTACTTTTGGACAAAGTTAAAAATTCGTTGTAACGTGAGTTTTAACTTTCTTTAACGCCTAAATTGACCATCTTTCCATAAAATGTCTTGATTGAATATTAAAAGATTAATTTAATTGATGAAGCGGCGTTAATTTATAGTTTGTTACGTTCAGTTGCATTGTTTTTACGAAGCTTCGTAAGATGAATAAGCTCAGATAATTCCATCACTTACGATTTTATATTCGAAGATTAAAAATCAATGAAGGAATTTAACAAAACCTTTTATCGCATTTAAAAAAAAATATATAAAAATTTTTATTATCAGATATACTATTGGCTGATTCTCTGTGAAATCGAATGGCCAAAAAAATTTTTTTTCTGCAAATATGAAAAACTTGCTGTTCCCGATGTCAGAAATGTCCCCAAATTTTATTAGAATTTTTGGGACCATCTATCACTCTTTTTCAGGGGCCCGAAGTTGGCCATTTTAGGGTTTTTTTGAAATTCATGAAAAATCACAAATATTAAAATAATTCCTGGATCAGGGTAGAATGATTCAAAAGTAAAAGTGCCCAGCAACTTTTTTGTTGGAAATTGTCCAAATTTTCAGAAAAAAAATATGCCAAAGTGATTGGAACAATCTAGGTAAGTGTAAAGCAAAAAAACTGCCAAAGGGACATAAATGATGAAAATCTAATCGAGTTCGAACCGGACTTTCATTTCCTAAACTATGTAAAAAGCTTCCCAAAGATGTCAACTAATGCCTGATAAAGTTTTGTAATGGGTCTTAAAGTTTAACGCAATGTAGACAACAATGTATGGCGAAAAACGTGCAAAAAGGTCAAAAATGGGCCTAAAATGCCTAAAATCACCAAAAACAGCCATTTTCAGCCTTTTTTTGCTTGTTTTTCGCCACACATTGTTGTCTACATTGCGTTAAACTTTAAGGCCCATTACAAAACTTCATCAGGCAGTAGTTGACATCTTTGGGAAGCTTTTTACATAGTTTAGGAAATGAAAGTCCGGTTCGAACTCGATTAGAATTTCATCATTTATGTCCCTTTGGCAGTTTTTTTGCTTTACACTTACCTAGATTGTTCCAATCACTTTGGCATATTTTTTTTCTGAAAATTTGGACAATTTCCAACAAAAAAGTTGCTGGGCACTTTTACTTTTGAATCATTCTACCCTGATCCAGGAATTATTTTAATATTTGTGATTTTTCATGAATTTCAAAAAAACCCTAAAATGGCCAACTTCGGGCCCCTGAAAAAGAGTGATAGATGGTCCCAAAAATTCTAATAAAATTTGGGGACATTTCTGACATCGGGAACAGCAAGTTTTTCATATTTGCAGAAAAAAAATTTTTTTGGCCATTCGATTTCACAGAGAATCGGCCTATTACATTAAAAAAATTACGAAACTTGCAAAATCAGTTGAATATTTCAATACAATTTCAGTAATTTAACATTGCAATAAAAGTGCATTGTTTCAATCTAAAAATACAATTTTATAGTTATGATAAATAGAATAAAATCAGCAAACACTTCGTTTTTAAATTTCTGCAGTAGCCAATGCCACTACAGTGGAAAAAATTTAGAAAGCATAAAATTTTCGTCAACTTCTATAAATTGTGCTGTCGAAAAGATCGAATTGGACATTTACATTGATACCATCTGGACATCAGATTAAACTTGAGTAAACCCATCGTTTATTGGTATTTATATAATTGGTGACGAGGCAGAATTGAACGATGAGACATCTGTGTCAGTTGGACGAGTCTGATGGTCGTTCTTGGGCAAATTAGGTAAAAGATCTTCGAAGGAAACAATGATATTTGTAGACAAATTTTGACATGCTAAAATTCGTAATCTTCCCTGAAACTTCAGTATAATTTTAGAATCATAAATTGTATTGACAATTTTCCAAATATTTACTCACGTTAAATCAATTATTAATCTTTTTATCCGTTCCCGATCGATTACGGGACGATCAATGCTTTCCAAATATGATCTTATTGCTTCCAAGGGACTATTTACATTAAAAAACTCTGGCCGTTTAAAAACCGATAGAATCTGTTTGAGTTTCCTTTCATCTGGTATTCGGTCAGCTGGAAACCCACACAGTTTATTATAAGCCTCGATCGCTTTCTGTTTGTCGCCACGATATAACTTTTCATATTCTTTTTTATCTCCGTTACGGTACAGGACATGTTCAACACAGGTGACGACCAATATGATGTTACATACAAAATACAGATCAACTGTCTTGAAATTATCAACAGAACAAATTCCATAAATCGCTTCTTTGAATTTATTTAATAATTCAGGAGTAACGGGAATACTACCCGCATATTTTCTCACTGACGCACGTAGCATAGCTGTTAAAACTGCTGGGTCTTCTAAATTTTCTTCTTTAATGTCGTTGGCAATTATGTACTCTCGTAATTTAATAATTGCCCCTGCATCACGTTTTAACATCTTTGCATCCATTAAAAATAAATCTAGATCCATTTTTTTTTTTTGGTTCAAATGTTTGCATATTGATGGAACTATATTCTTTATCCAATTGTATGTTTGATGAACACCAAAAAATTTTTATCTAAAATGAATTAAATAATATTATAATTTAACTTTTAAGACGTCCGAGTATAATCTCGGTTCTATTATTACTGACAGTTACACAAACGTACTCTCAGCTACATGTCAACATCGTATTCTCACGCTCGTACACGTGTAAGTATGTACGAATACAAATACGAGAACATAATTTCAACTTTTCTTTTAACTCGACCCGACAAAACCCAAGTTTTAGTTATGCGTTGAAAGAAAAAATATTGTTTCGATAATTGAAAATAATTTTTCAAACTCTACGCGCAACATTGCAAGAGAATAGGGCACAAATGTAATCCTAAATACCTTCCGGATTTAATTAAAATTATCGTTTTAAACGATTTATTTTTTTTAAATTTATTCCAAAGTCGCTCAGAAACTTTCCTCGAAATGATTTGTCTGGAGAAAAATTAATTCCAACGAACGCGAAAATCTATTTGAAAAAGCTGCGAACGATACTTTAGTGTTTATTAGCGCTAGGACATGTCAAAGTTTTCATTGACGTTTATCGGTCACGAGCATGAGAAGAAAAATCAAAACGATATATATAGAATATAGTAAAAGCTCCTCTTATCAAAATGCGAGCAAAGAGGCGATGCTCTCACGATGACAAAATGGGATTTCAATATCAAGTAGGTTCGTCGCAATGCAGTTGTTACATTACATTATCGATATGTGGTTGATTTCAGTGATCGAGACAAACGCATAGTGAGCTGTGATCACATCCGATCTAATCTACGAAGTCAATTTCGGGTGTGTTTACTCTTGCTTCTTTTGTCCAAGAGAGTATTTTTTAATGCGAGTCCGTGAACACTTTGTCAAGTGCGCGAGAAATAATAAATAAACGTTTTTCACTCTCGTTGGATATGCTTCGAAATATATTTTATATTTTGATTTTATATCATTTAAGGATGTTGGTAACTAGTCGAGTTCGACTACCAAGTTGAAACTTCAGGATTTGATAATTGAAAATCCGTTAAAGAAATCTTTATCCTTAAAAGATGGTTTGGTTAAAAAACAAAAGTCATGACCGTCAACTGTCAAAAATCAATTTCCTTATTTATTGTTTTTTTAATAGTGCCTTATAATTTCCTTGTAACGTATTTCCTCGTAAAAGGCAAAATTGATGGTTTTTTTCGAATCAGTAGCTCATTTTTCCACGAATTTTATGGAGATGTTCGAGTGAGTTGAAACGTGTGATTAAAATCAATTTAAGGTTCCTATAGCTATTCGTGCAACGTTTTCAAGGTATATGGATGTTATTTTTTCCTAGCACTCTTCAAATGAGAAAAAAATATTAAAACTATCGAAACAATTTTTAGTGAAAAATCGTTAGTTTTCAAATGCTTTTATCACAGACAAATTTAAACGTATCGAGACGAATTATATTTAGTCGTATGAAAAAGTTTCTTGTTCAAGGAAATATATATTTTGAATATGTTTGAATCAATAAGCCTAATTAAAAATTGTGGTAATAATTTTTTCAAAATATTATATAGGTGCCAATATGATAGTCTAGCCCTCATTACGTCTTGAACAATTATTTGGCTGTTATTATACTGACGAAATCAATCCCGACTTCTATTCAGCATCACTGAAATTGTTCTTTTTGAAACTACGAACTACACTAAATAGTTTTTGAATAGAATAATTACATAATTTAGTATAATGATAGTCGCAGTCCTATGTGATCACGTAAAGTTAACATTAATTTGTATAAATACTCGATCTGCCTAATTGATGTAATCAATACACTGCATCAAAAAAGATGTTTACGAACATTTTGTTATGAGCATGAATAAATTAAAAAATATCACATCGAACAATTCGTATACGTAATCATATAAAAATTTAGCTATTTATTTCATATATAATTTTAGAAAATGGATTCATCAGAATATTAACCGTCAATATCAAGCAAAAAAATATCATCTCGAGATAAACGTGTTCCATGTTTTCTCTGACATTAAATGTCGTATAAGAATAATTCCTCGATACTTCTAAGGAGGCTCGAGCAAAATTGCATTTGTAAGCCACCGTACTAAAACTTTGGGAAATGATTCTTGACAATCATACAAATCGATAGCAAAAAAAAGAATATGTGTTAACGATCTTATTTAAATGATATATCAATGTAAAGTTCTGTCTGCGCGATGCGGCCACTGTGCAAAAAATGGTACAAATGGGCCAATATATTTTATTTCTTAAATTTATTCAATTATTTAATTGGAGAAATATAAATAATATCAAATATTAAAACAAATTGTAATAAATTTGTAAAAAATCATTTTCCGAAATTTCAGTCCCGTGACTCACAAAGGCATTATCGCTCAAGTCTTCTAATATTCTAAGATTTTTATAACGTATAACACTTTTTCGTCAAGTTCTTCATTTTCGAGTTATGAAAACTAATTATGTTCTTAAAATAAATATAATTTAATTTTTTACGAAAAATTTGAAGAGAAAAATGTCTCTTGTGATTTTTCTCTAAAATGCATATTTATCGAGTTACAAGCGATTAAAAAATAAAAAAAAACGCAAATTTCGTGATTTTCGATCGCGTGTAATAACACGAAAAAACAATATTTTCGATGTCGTCAGCTCTTTTTATCATTCAGACATCCCTCTAAGGATTTCTAAGGATGCACTAACGATATTACACAATTAATTTTGAGCCTTCGGGTACGAGATAGCATCGCCATGGTATGAGAGCGCAGAAAGCGAAGCGTCGCGACGCGCCTATCTCCGCTGTACAAATTTCATACAAAATCGCAAAAAATGAATTGTGTAATTGAACAATAAAAAGCGAAATTCAATTTTAACGTTTTATTGGTAAGTTTTTCAATTCATAGGATGATACAGGATTTAACACAGTAGTGTCCCCTTAAACTGTGGCTATTGTTGTAAAGAAAGCCGAGTGACTGTTGGAGCGTATGATGGGATTAGAGGACAACTCGAAGAAACAAAATAAAATAATCAGCGAAAGCAGTGAAGTTCCAGCTAAGCTAGCTAGTGTGTCTAAGCACCAAGTAGTAGCTAATTTTCTTAACGATGAAGTAAAATATCTTTTCGCCGTCATTTAATTCAAGTATTATATAGTGTGGCGTTGCGCACACGTGAAGGTGCAGCCAGCAGCTGCAGCTTCTCGAAGTAAAAGCGATCAAACAATCTTTACTAATCTGTACTTTCATATAACATAATAAAGATAACCATCGATTGATCAGAAACGGAAATATAATTTAAGACTACTGCTTCCAGCTTGTTTTTTTTTTTTTTTTTCATTCAGAGCAGACAGAAGTAATATTACAAATGAACCATATTGCAACCCTTCAAACATCGCAGATCGCTTGATAAATCTCTCGTAAAATTTTCACAAAATCTAAAAAACTAACAAAAAAAAAAAATTCGACTTATTAAATTTCTACAAGTTGTGCTCGATCTATAAAATTTCTTGACTTATTATGAGTCTCCAATATTGTTTTTACATTATATATTAATTTATTTAGTATATATAATATAGAAATATGATAATTTGATTTGCAAATCCTGTAAATGAAACTTTTAGGTTCAGCGGTAACTTTAAAGCAAAGAAGAATCGAAAAATCATAAAAATGTTGCAAAAGAATTTTGCATCGCGCTGTATATCGTAACATCGATCGATGGATATTAAATTAATAATTAATTAATCTTCATGGGACACACCTATGTTAAATCCTGTAATATCGTATGAATTGAAAAACATGAAAATGAAACGTTGAAATTGAATCTGTTATTGATATAAAATTATGTTTTTTTAAATGTTTTTGCATTAGAAAACATGTTTTTAGTAGCTTTTATTATTTGAATTAGTCCAAAATGTATAATTATAGTATTATACATAAGGGTGTACCCCTTTTTTAAATATTTCGAATAAAAAGAATAGAATAAAAGATATCGCAGGAGCCGAGTGAAAAATTGTTAAACAGTGTCTTCTTGCAGATCTGTGCAAAAGATGGGTGCTGAAATCGAACATTTTCAGCGCAGAGTAGATCCCTGAAGGCTTTTTTTGCGTTATTTTCTTTTTGCACTAGTAAATTATCTTTTAAAAGGGTAAACATATTTTGTTTCGTGAGCCTTTACAATGAAATTTGCTGAATAAAGAGATACAAGCTACGGGTCTAGCCCCTAGACTCTAGGGGTCTGCTATTTAAAGCTAAAGAATTACAAATAATACAAGCATGAAGCAGATGAAAAGTTTTGCGATTTTTTTCCCACAGGAAGAGTTCAGGGATCTACTCCGAGCTGAAAATTTTTGATTTCAGCACCCATCTTTTGCACAGATCTGCAAAAAGATACTATCTAACAGTTTTTCACTCGGCTCCTGCGATATATTTTATTTTATTCTTTTTATTCGACATATTTAAAAAAGGGGTACACCCTATTATACAATATACTATACTTATATTATTATGTACAATATATTATACAATATATTATACAATATACAATATTATATAATATACATACTGATTAATTATGCCTAAGCCCTGTGCCACATGAATCTGAATGAAATTATTGACTAATCTTCATCCTAGAGGTCTAACAATTTTTGTCATAACATTCATCTTCGCTTTTATGAAACACTACGTTTCGCGAGAAATAAAAAAAACTTTTTTCTTATATTGATCTATGTTCATGACGATGCCTCGTTAATAAAGAAGTCAAGATAATGAAGGTCGAGCCTGAAGTTTATACAAAATAACAGCCAGTGTTTGAAGTTTGATTAATTGGGAAATATTAAGCGCAGCTTTTATATGTGCTTGGATCGTGTATGCCGCACCGTATATACACATATACATAAACCTATTACAATAAGATTACCTGAAACTTCGCTGATTTCTTTTTTCTGTTCCTTTGAGTTTTGCTTTAATCCCATTATACGCTCCAATGAGCCCTCAGCTTTTTTTTCTAAGAATAGCCACAGCTTAACCAAACAGCTGTTACTAATATGGAAAAAACTAAGGATTATTGAAGTTTTCGTTTTATAAAAGATAATTAATTAAAATTAGTAAGTGAAGACTACTGCTTTCACCTTTCAAAAGTACATCTACTTTTTTCATCTGTGTGCACGCATATGTTTATCCCCGCTACTCGCCTCTCTTTTTCTCTCGCTTCGCTTCAAACTAGCTTGTATTAGGCAAACCCCAGAGCGCCAGATTCAATTAGAACTTGAGCACGAGTAGTCGTAGCAAAGCTTTTGCAAGTGAAGTACATTTTTTTCAAATTTTAATATAAAAAACTGTGTGTGCTGTGTGTGAGTGCGTAAACATGAATAGCAGCTTGAAAAAATTATGGTTCTTGTGGGACAACGTCAACTGGGAGAACAAAAGAAAGCGAAATCTATTTCTTCGCAAATTTGATGTATTATTCACCAATTGGAAGCACCAACTTCCCAATCTCCGAAAAATTTTTCGGCCGAACGAAATAGATAAGCTTCTCTTGGAGGCTACAAAAGTAGGCAACAGTCGAGGACTAAGGATAATTCAATTTGTGGTTGGCACCGGCTATAAAGATAAGCCCGAGGTAGATAAGAACGGCAAGCCGATATTGCGTCGGATGACACTAATGCATTGGGCAGATAAAAACTATTCCTCTGTCCAGAGCAACGTGATGTATTGGCTTCTTCAAATTTACAATAGAAATAGATTCGATTTGAATTACGTCGATGAGTCCGGATTGACTCATTTCCATTTGGCTTGCAAGTATGGCTGCTACTTTGAAGCCAAAATGTTTATAAGATTCGGACATGATCCCAATCTTCCTGTGCAAAAAACAGGGGATACCCCTCTTCATTTAACGATAAGCAACGACGATATGGACTCCTACAAGGTGATTAAATTGTTGTTGAGGAAGGGGGCCGATCAGAATTCGGTCAATGACAAGGGATTGACACCGCTGCACTATATTTGTATGAAAAACTTTGTCTTTGATTATCATTATAAATCGTGGAATATATTTTTTAAAACAATTGACAGAATAAATAAACTGGTGCAGATTAATTCTCGGGACAACTGCGGTAACTCACCATTACATTTTTTATTGAGAAACGTTTCATGCTATCAAATCCAATTGGTGCGACAGCTGCTGATGAGAGGCGCTGATCCTGATTGGGCCAACGAGGAGGGACAGACTCCACTGCACCTCATTTGCATGAGACACTACCTACCTAACCAAAATTTTATTTTTCTGAAGACATTCTTCGAGATTGTCAACGAACTTAATAAACCGATTCGGGTCGATGTCCGGGACAAGTTGGGCCAGACACCTCTGCATTTTGCCGTGGCGAATCTATCTCTGAATGTCGTCGATTTTCTGTTGGATAAGGCCGGTGCTGATCTGTCCAATTTTGATTTTCCTCCCGCGAGTTCTTTTGGTAAGAAAATCAACCCGGAAGATGATCAACATCGGGTGCCTGGCGTTTGATCGTGCTCAAACACCTACAGAAAAAAGGATATCAACCGAGACAAAGCGACGTGCTGACGATCATGACGTTGTACGCTGAGTATAATATGTTCCAGAAATCGACGGTTCTTAAAGAATCCTGGTGTAACAACGAGGAGTTCGCAAGCAGGGCAAAAGAGATAACAATCATTCCTAGTCTGTCACTGTACGAATTGATTCAATTACCACTGCACGAAGCGGAAGAAATACTTACAGATGAGATCTACTGGTGGTTAGTAAACTCGTGGCAGTTTATGCCACAAAGGCCTAGAGAAGCTTGCACTGTCTATCTGTGTGAGATGATGTCGAGAGGATTTTTCCGGGCGTGGACACTATATCCTTTCTGGGAACTGATACGTTATCGACTGCCAATTGAGTGCTGTGAACCCATCATCAATCAGCTAATGAATCAAGATTTATATAACATTTTATTGGCAGCAACAGTCAAAAGCTCATAATGGCAACAAGGAAAATTATTCTTCATTTGTAATGGACAAATGTAACTTAATGTTGCAGATTCATCAAATTATACAAATAAATGAATTTTCAAAAATATTCAATTCGATAATTTTATTAGATTTCAATTTTTAAAGTTATAATTTTATTTAAATTTTTTTGTTAAAGATTACAGAACGTAATCGTAATAATTGAGATAATTTGTCATACAATTATTTTTCGAATACTAATAAAAATATTCAACCTTTCCCTATGGTAAAAGCTATCTATTTAAATTAATCACATTGAATTTGTTTTCTTGTATGCACTTATTTAAACGTTTTCTACTATAAAATTGCACCGAAATGTTTGCAAAATGGGGTTTTCATTCACTTTTTGCAAAGGAAAAATTGTTTAAAACATGAATGCACCCGGTATAAATTTAGGAAGAATATGATGAGTGTTTTCAAGTATAAAAACCTAAAATTTCAACATTGTGGACAAACTCGAGTAGTTAAACAACATACTTAAATTATATAAAATCCAAATATAAAAAAAATTTTCGAAGAATATTCAACGCGAGTGAAAAACGTGTATAAGCTCTCGTCAATGAAACACACCTAAATGAAAACTAGCGCTAAGAGACGTCAAAGCATCGTTCGCAGCTTTTTCAAATGGATTTTCGTTGTTATTTTATGCGTTCGTTGTAATTAATTTTTCTCCAGACCAATCCCTTCGAGGAATAGTTTCTGAGCGACTTCTGAATAAAATTAAAAAATAAATCGTTTGAAACTATAATTTTAATTAAATCCGAAGCATATTTAGGATTGTATCAGTGCCCTATTCTCTTGCAATGTTGGGCGTAACGTATGAAAAATTATTTTTAATTATCGAAACAATATTTTTTTCTTTCAATGTATAACTAAAACTTGGATTTTGTCGGGTCGAGTTAAAAGAAAAGTTGAAATTATGTTCTCGTATTTGTATTCGTATATACTTACATACGAGCATGAGAAAGAATTCGTACATACTTACGTACGAGCATGAGAATACGATGTTGACATTTAGCTGAGGGTACGTTTGTGTATTTGTCAGTAATGATAGAACCGATATTATACTCGGACGTCCTAAAAGTTAAATTATAATATTAGTTAATCCATTTAAAATAAAAAATTTTTAGTGTTCATGAAACATCTAATTGAATTAAAAATATAGTTCCATCAATATCCAAAAATTTGAACCAAAGAAAAAATGAATCGAGGTTTACATTTAATGACTGCAAGGACGTTAAAACGTGATGCAGGAGCAATTATTAAATTACGAGAGTACATAATTGCCAACGACATTAAAGAAGAAAATTTAGAAGACCCAGCAGTTTTAACAGCTATGCTACGTGCGTCAGTGAGAAAATATGCGAATGAAAATACTCCCGTTACACCTGAATTATTAAATAAATTCAAAGAAGCGATTTATGGAACTTGTTCTATTGATAATTTCAAGACAGTTGAGCTGTATTTTGTATGTAACATCATAGCGATCGTCGCCTGTGTTGAATATGTCCTGTACCCCAGGGCAGATAAAGAAGAATATGAAAAGTTATATCGTGGCGATAAACAGAAAGCGATCGAGGCTTATAATAAACTGTGTAGGTTTCCAGCTGACAAAATTCCAGATGAAGACAAACTCAATGAAATTCTATTTGTTTTTAAACGGCCAGAGTTTTTTAAAGTAAATAGTCCCTTAGAAGCAATAAGATCATATCTAAAAAGTAATCATTATTTCGATCGGGAAATGATAAGAGGTAAAATAATTCATTTAAGGTGAGTAAATATTTGGAAAATTGTTAATCCAATTAATGATTCTAAAATTATATTGAAATTTCAGCGATGGTTACAACTTTTAGCATGTCAAAATTTGTCTACAAAAATCTCATCGATTCCTTCAAAGATCTTTTACCTAATTTGCCCAAGAACGACCATCAGCTACATCCAACTGTCACTGTCACCTATTATATAAATACCCATAAACGATTAATTCACTCAAATTGAATCCGCTGTCCAGATAGTATGAATGTAAATGTCCAATTCGATCCAATTCAAAAACGAAGTGTTTGCTGATGTATGTTATTTATTATTCTTTTTATTTTATTCAAAAAATTTTATTTTCAATTTAAAACAATGCACTTTTATTGCAACGTTAAGTTGCTGAAATCGTAATAAAATATTCAACCAATTTTTCAAGCTTCATTATTTTTTAATGTAAAAATTTTCTATATTGCCACCTGTAAAGCCAATTTAAAGAAAAATCATCTTCACATACTAGTTTGCAGCCTAGATTTTTTTTTACATTTTACAGTTTACATTTTAATTTTGTTGAAAGTTTTTATTATTTGAAAAGAAATTAAACATTAAAATACACTTTTTTACATAGTACACTAATCATTTACATTTTGATAGCATGAAATTACAGTACAGCAATATACATAATTGAATTTAAAAATTTTTCGTAAGTTCTCTTCATTCGTCTGACCGATGATTTACTGTCTGCCTTCCTCCTGCCGACACCGATTGCAGGATCTGAGAAAAGATACATTGGAAAAAATTAAATTATATCCATAACACTCGAAACGGTAAATAGAGCCAAAAATTATGTTAGAAAATTGCAACTTACTTTGGAGATCTGCGTCAAGGGTATCGGCAATGCAGTCCTCAACGACGTTGCTTTTCTCTTTTGCTGATCATCGCCGTCAATGCAGTTTTCAAAAATATTGCTGCTTTCTCATGACTCCCGTCACCGACGATGCAGTCTGGAACAAAGTCGTTCTTTCCTTTTGATTCCCGTCACCGTCGTCAGCATCTGGAACAGAACAAATAAAACGTAGTTTGAAAATCTACATAAAGCACAAAAATAATTTATTTTGTAACACTGTTAAAAATTAAGTTCACGTAAGTTTTGCGTTCATAACCACGACTTTCGTGCTAAACGTCAAAGATTCACAGTTAGGATAGTTTGTTTATGTTGACTTGTTTTTTTTTTTTTTTTTTTTTTTTTTTATGTAGATCTTTGACCACCGCATTCGTATATGTGAATATGTGTGCGTGCATGTATTTATATTCAGGCTGTAGCATATAATGTTCGTGTGTGTGTGTGTGTGTGTGGGTGTGTGATTCGAAGCAGCCGACAACTGCTCGAGCGCGTGTAGGTGTTGTGTTTTATAAAACGCGAGAGTCAGTTACAATGCGGCAGCCGAACTAGTCTAAATTTTGCATTTAGAACTCGATTTAACAGTGTTGACAGTGCTTTTCACCATGTGCGTGATAACTCGTGTCACTTCTGCGAGAGTTAATCCATATAACAGTAGCCATCGAAAAGATTATGTAGCAGCAGAAGATTGTTTCTTCTGCTACATAACCTTTTGCTCGCACGGTAAAATTATTTAGCCGCGGAAACAAAAAAATTTAGCTGCCACAGCAAAATATCTTTTGCTGATTCAAATGCCCACTTTCGATGTACTTACTTATAAAATTTTTTTCGGTGTAGAACTTCACTATTTTCGCTGATTTCTTCATTTGCCGGAGGGAAAACGAAGTGGACAGCTCAGTGACATGATTTCTGGCAAGTAATGTGCAGTGCTGTCAATCCTACTATGGCTGATTTCGGATCATCCTTCTTATCATCAGAAATGCTACACACTTTATTGACGATCTCAATGACACTAATTTCAATGTCAAAAGCAAGGGTGTGTTACCGCAGTTTTCACGAGCATTAATCTGGATCAGTTTCTTTCTTTTGTCGATTGTTTCAAAAAATATATTCCACGATTTATGATGACAATCAACGACGCAGTGTTTCTTAAAAATATCGTGCAGCGATGACAATCTCTCAACAACAATTTAATCAACTCGTAGAAGTCGTAGCGTTCTGCCAAATGAAGCCGGTTTTTTGCACGCGAAGATTGGGATCATGTCCGAATCTTATGAACATTTTGGCTTCAAAGTAGCAGCCGTGCTTGCAAGCCAAATGAAAATGAGCCATTCCGAACTTATCTGCGTAATTCAAATTGAATCTTCTGTTCATTTTAAACAGAAGATCGATCACGTTGCTTTTGAAAGGGGAATAGCTTTCATCTGCACAATGCAGTAGTGTCTTCCGACGAAATATCGGCTTGCCGTTCTTATCTACCTCGGGCTTATCTTTATAGCCGGTGCCAACCACAAATTGAATAATCCTTAGTCCTCGACTGTTGCCTACTTTTGTAGCCTCCAAGAGAAGTTTATCTATTTCGTTCGGCCGAAAAATTTTTCGGAGATTGGAAAGTTGGTGCTTCTATTTGGTGAATAATACATCAATTTTGCGAAGAAATAGATTTCGCTTTCTTTTGTTCTCCCCGTTGACGTTGTCCCACAAGAACCATAATTTTTTCAAGCTGCTATTCATATTTAAATACTCACACACAGCACACACAGTTGATATAAAAATTTTTCAAAAAATGCACTTCACTTGCTGCTGCTTTGCTACGACTACTCGTGTTCGAGTTCAACTTGAAACTGGCGCTCTGGGGTTTGCCTAATTTTTCAGAGATTGGGAAATGGTCCTCCCAATCGCAGAACAAAAAGTCAAATTTACAAAGAAATTTATTTCCTTTTTATTCGCTTTTTATTGGTCTCCCAATTGATATTGTTTCGCAAGGAATTGGTCCTCCCAATCGCAAAACAAAGAGTCAAATTTGCGAAGAAATTTATTTCTTATTTATCCGCTGTTTATTGGTCTTCCAATTGACCTTGTCTCGCAAGAGCTGTAATTTTCCCAAGTTTCTAGCAATTTTTGCACACTCACACACAACACACACAGTTGATATTAAAATTTGTATCACTTTGCGATTTCACTTGTAAATGCACTTCGTTCACGAAAATCACTTCTTGCAGACAACGAGATTTTCTTATGTATTACTTTGCGATTTCACTTGCAAACGTACTTTGTAGCGCGGTGACGTGTTATGCGACACATCGGCCAGAGCAGAGTCCGGTGTGTGAGATTTCCCTTTCCTCCTCCCCGTTATATATCGCGACATAATATGTATCACGCGAGTCGATGCGAACGCGAGAGAGAGACATATTATATATTGGGCCGAGGAGAGCACGAAGCTGAATTGAGGGTCACATGCTCGTGAGCTGAATGTCGGAGATGCGTAGCAGCGTGTAGCTAAGATAGCAGGCGTTTGACCAGCGTGGGGCACTCTGCTGTGTAAGCAATAGCGCAAGCGTGCGAGCGAATTCCTGCTGCGATACGTCGTATTATTTTCCTATGTATTACTTTGCGACCTCACTTGCAAATGCTTTGCTACGACTAATCGTAGGTGTTCGAGCTCTAATTAAATCTGGCAAATCTTTGAGGATTTTGGTTTGAACAATAGAATTTGGCAACAGAGGCAAAAAAATATTGATTAGACAAGGAGTATCCCGCTATGACTTGATCCAATTAAGTTCGAACGAGCCAGCAAAAGTAGACAATCGTACAGCGAAAGATCAACGCAACAATGATAACCATCTATGCGAGACAATAACTAGACAATGTTATCGTTGCTGGGCATAAAATTCGCACAAAAACTGACGATTCTCTGCAGTGATATCATCGTAAATCAACTTATGACTCTCAAGATTTATATAATTTTTGTTTTATACCCAGAGCCCTCCAGTAAAGAGATATATGAATGAATAATGAAAAAAAATTGTTTTGGTCTTAAATAAAAAAATTGTTATTGGAATATGAAAAAATATATATTTTCACTGCATTGTGCAGTTTCTTGATTTGTAATAAAATTGTCTACCGATTTCACAGGTGTTTTTTACTTATTTTATTTAAATGTATCATTATACTTTATCATTATCTTTGAATATGCAATCTATGGTAAATGAATTGACCTAGCTCGTGCTATTGTTCTGACCTCAAAATAATAAAAGCTAGACGTTCATACTGCCACTTATACATAAATAATACATAAATAACTATACGGACATGAGTATTTGCGGGTGGAGTTTATAAAATAAAAAAGGAAAGGTGAGATAAGCTGGACGACAAATACAGGTGTTTTAAAGAATTATTGGCCATTTATCTTTTGGAAAAAGATCGTATGATATATTTTATACAGTAGTACAATATACGTCAACGACGATGGTGTGAACGACGCGTAATTCTTGTGAGAACAAAAAAGTAATATTTAATCTGCACCGGGGGAAGACCGTAGAGGGGCGAGACGATATCCTCAGGCGACTCAATTGGTTGTCCGACGATTGGTAGGACCAACAATCCGATCTCCGAGAAACCTTTCGGCCCGATGAAATGGAGCTTCTTCTCACAGATTTCGTGTATTACCCCCCAGATTTTATTTATCGTGGTAATTCCTTCGTCAATTTTGTGATTTGAACCGGCTGTAAGGACGAGCCCAAAATAGATGACAAAGACGGCAAAGCTACACCGCTGCCGCTGCGTACCACACCAGTGCATCGTGGCAACATCATGCGTCAGTTTTTCAAAATATACGACCAGCTCGGCCGAGCCGTTCCTCGAGGCCTGCGCGGAATTAAAGAAGCCGGAGAGGCTTGACATCACTTTTAAAAATTTTATCCAAAATTATTATTTCTCTAATGTTCTCCGCGGAGACTATCAGAACTAAACAAATTGTCGAGAATATAATTTTTTTCGTTGCATAAAGTTTAGGAAAGATTTTTTTTGGTGATACTTCTTATGAAGAAATTTTTTTTGCTGATAAATTTGGTTTAGCTATTGTTATCGTTAACGAAAAATAATAAGTTATGTTTATTTTCCTGACATTTATCAAAGAGATATGTTATTTCAGGGCATTTACCCCAGCGGAACATTTTTACAAATGAGAGCGGCTTTATATCGAGATCAAATAATTACTGTAGTTCAGGTACATGTTTGAACGATTTTTTTCAGCAAACAAAAATCATAGGCGTAATGACTTTTAATTAAGCTTATTCGAAAAATATGTACCCTTACACTAGAAACTTTTTAATAAGACTAAAAACAATTCATCTCGATAGTTCAAATTTGACGGTGATAAAAGCATTTGAAAACTAAAGATTTTTCACTAAAAATCGTTAAGGTGGTTCTTTCAATATTTGTTGAGACATGAGACCTATCCTATCTTATAGATTAAATCACGCTGAATGCAATGGTATAATTATTCATGGGGCTTACGCTGCAAAATTTCGAGATATTTTATCTCAAAGTATGCTATTTTAACATGGGAAGCATAGAACGGCCACCATACATATGGTATTTCTAATCAAAAATTAATTTGTTCGGGTATTGGAGTGTATAGGTTTTATAGAAAAAACTCTAATCTTTCAGCCTGTGTATCGTAAAACAGGGCTTACGCTGCAAAAAATCAAGATCTTTCATGTAAAAGTGAAAAAAACGATGTTTTTGCTATGAATCAGCTGATGTCAGGCTGCGCAGTACTTACTGTGCATACAAAATATACAGCTCTAGGCAAGAGTTCACTATAGAAAAACTTAAACTGAAAGAACCACCTTAAGATAGATTTGTTGTAGAGTGTATGTTAGCCGTGGGGCCTTATTTTATGTTCACTTGAGTAGTGCCGGGAAATATAACATCTACTTATAATTTTTCTTTTCATGCTCGCGACCAACACCCATCAATAAAAACTTTGACGTGTCCTTGCGCTAAGAAACACCAAAGTATCGTTTGCAGCTTTTTTTAATAGATTTTCGCGTTCGTTTGAATTAACTTTTCTCAAAACAAATCGTTTCGAGGAAAGTTTCTGAGTGACTTTTAAATACATTTATGGTCTCGTATTTGTATTCGTATATATTAACACGTATACGAGCGTGAGAAAACGATGTTGACATGTAGCTGAGGGTACGTTTGTGTAAATGTCAGTAATGATGAAACAAAGATTACACTGGGACGTTTTAAAATGTAAATTATTATATGAATTAATCCATTTAGAATAAAAAAGTTTTACTGTTCATCAAAATACAGAAGCAATTATTAGATTAGGGGAGTATATAATTTCCAACGACATTGGAGAAAAAAAATTTAGAAGACGCAGCAGTTTTAAGGGGGCTCTACACATTATACAAAAGATCATCCAACAAGATGAAACTTATATCAATCGATTTGTTAAATTTTTAAAATGGAATTCCAAAAAAAAAAAATGTGGTTGACGAACAAACTTTTGAGATAAACAAGTTTGAAAATCGCGATTTTAACACAGGCTCTTATGGGACGCGGTTTTATATTATTCATAACTAATTTAAGAGATCAACCATCTTAATAAAAAAAACCGCTGCCAATTTATTGGCATAGAGCTTCCTCTTAAAAAATAATGTTAACAAAAGGCATCGGTTATTACACTACACTTCTATGTTGACCAAAAGGAAGAGAAAAAAAACTCATACAGACATTTGTTGGTAATTCAATGTAGTTTCCAAATATATAAACCAAATTGTCCTACGAGGTCTGGTTCAAAATCTCGTTTTCGAGCCTATCACAGAGCTCCCTCTACGAGAAAACAATATATTTTCTGAAAGAGAAAGTTCCAAGCTTTCGATTGGTATGTTAAAAATTACCCCTTAACGAACTAACTAATGAGTAATTGAACAAAATCATTGTGATTTCGAAAAGTGCGAACAGTTGTCTGCCTATTGCGAGAAAGAGACAGACGGATCTCTCGAGAAACGGACAGACAGATGCCTCGCTCTACTATTGTTATGATTGATGTGGAGCCTCCTTAACTGCTATGCTACGTGCGACAGTGAGAAGATATGCAGGTAGCACTCACATTACACCTGAATTATCAAATAAATTCGAAAAAAACGATTGAAGCTACTAATTGTCCTTTCAAAATGTTCACAAAAGTTGATCTGTATTTTATCCCAATCGTAGCGACAGTCGCCTGTGTTAAACATGTCCTGTACCCCAGGCAAAAAAAAGGGAGAGAAAATTTATATCTTGGCAACTAACAGATTAATTGATCAAGGCATATGATAAGCTGGTCGAGTTTCTAGTTGACGAAATACCAGATGAAAGCCATTTTAAACAGATTCTATCTATTATAAAACGCCACAACTTTGTTGCAGTAAATAGTCACTTAGAAGCAATAAGCTCGAATATAAAAAAGAATCAAGATTTCGATCAAAAATATTTTAGGCCTGCTAGTATGTAAATAACTTTTGGAGGCCTCGAGCAGATGCTAAGCTGTTTTTTTACGCTGAAAAATTTCAAGAGATCCAAAATTAGTCCTTCCAATCCCAGAACACAGAGACAAAATGGCGGAAAACTTATATTTCTTACATCGCCTTTTCTCGCATCTTCCAATTCCTCTTGTCTCGCAAGAGATTCAACTTTCTAATCTCGCTCGCAATCGAGGAGCGCGTGTCGCGCTCCGAATGGCAAGTATGGCAGACGAGAGCAGCCTNATGAGTTGCAAAGCTTTGAAGCTTCTGTTCGAAACAAAGGTAAAAAAGTTAGTGAATATTAAAAAAAATCGGAAACATAATTATTCCAATAACTGTATAAAATTGAAGCTGCGCTGGCACGGGCCATATTTTAATTTTTTACTCGTGTCCGGTGCATGTGGGTCTGGAAAAATATTGCGCTTATGCATTTCGATGATACCATTATTGAAAAGAGAAGACAAAAATCTGTCAAAAGGCACAAGCGCAATATTTTTCCAGACTTTTCTCCGCTTTGCGACTATTGCTCCGCGCGAGCGCATCTTCAATTTTATACAGTTTTAAACTATGTTTACCTATGAACCTATGATTACCTATGATATTAATGAAATCAGAAACTTTTTGACAAGTACACAAGCAAACTAAGATATTATATAAAATTAGAAACAACTGAGATTTTAAATAATCCTTTAGTGGTAATTCTTTTTTTCAAAAAGATTATTAGAAGCAAGTATGTCANTAAGCTCTGCGTGTTGCGATTAGAAGGACTAATTTCAGATCTCTGGAAACTTTTAGCGTATAAAAAAAGTTTCGATTCTGCTCGAGGCGTCTAAAACTTAACCTATGATGTTAATGAAATCAGAAACTTTTTGACAAGTACACAAGCAAACCAAGATATTATATAAAATTAGAAACAATTTTATGAGTTTTTTCAAGTCTATTGATAATATTCATAAAAACTATGATAACATTTTCATAATTAATTCTGAATTGAATGATAAGTTGATGAGAGCAAGCTAGTTAGCTATAGTATATGAAAAAAAAACCGTAATTCTATGACTTTACTTGCCCGGCCGTCTAGATTAAATATAAAACGTTTACACCTACTTCAATAGAAAAAATTTAATGCATGCAAAATGAAAATGACGTTTTTGATTAAAACATTATGTCAATTTATGAAGTAC